GATCAGTTTTGCCTTTTCTTCATTCATCCTCCATTGAATCTTGCCGTCCAAAATGGCGGCCACTTATCACCGTAGGTGGATACCGTAATAAACAGTAATGATATTCATAGGCCACCGTCAATCTCACCTGAAGAGGTCTATAATGGTATATTACATGCATTAATTACCACATCTACTAAATACTAAAATATTAGCACACACATACCGTACGTATTTCTTCTAATAGTGTGGTGGGCTTCTTCGTTAGACTATAGATATGTTAGACTACTTCTCATGCTCCTCTTCATCTATTTATAGTGGTTCATAGTGTCCACTATTCTTCTATTGTAATTGCTCCAGTCCTAGCGCAGCGAGACTACTCCAGTCCAGGGTAGGCGAAGGAGACTTCTAACAGCTCGTATACATCAGAAACTCCTACCAAACAACAAAAGTTTAAAAGATTATCCCTTAGACCCTTACTATTTATTACTGTGCTCTGGCCTCTTCTTTCATGCCACGAAATATAAAGAAAGAACGTAAAGACACCATAAAATGTCACGTGGCCAAAACTGGATTTATTACTGCGCATGCGCACCAGATTTATTAACTAAAGTAACCACGTGACATCACATGTTATCTTTGGTTTGACAATGTCTGAGTGTCTGTCCCTAAATGACCTTATAAGTAAGATTTATACAGTATGTATATCTTTAATTAATAATAACTCTTTCTCTTTAGCTACTACACAAAAGAAAGAGATCTCCATCACCATAAGATATTAATATTGTACAGTGGGTTATTTTGGATTGCATTTCGATAGCCATTTGTCAAAATAAAACCCACCATTTTAAACAATTGTTGTGCATGCTCAATGGCATATGACCACAAAATAGATATCTGCCAAACCTTTTATTCGTCCAAATTGCATTATAGTTAATTAGTAATGGGTGTGTTTTATTAGTGGGTGTGGTTTTAATTAATACAGTGATACAAGAGAAGATGCTTCAAGAGATGATGATGGTGCCAGTGAGTGGGGGAAGAAGAGAAAGAAAGACAATGAGTCCATTTTGACAAAGACAGGTGGGTGTGGTTTGTATTATCGCAACCTTGGTTTATGAATTAGTGTAGGTGGGGCTTATATTCCCCCCCAGCTCAATAAAAAATCATGCAAGCACAGATAAGACCAGATATGGGAATTTTAGTTATTTTTAAATTATTAATTTTTTTAATTTTCTCTTTCTCTCTAGTGCTCCATATTAAAGGATGGCATGGGAGGCTCTTAATAAGAGTATTAATGATCTGATTAACAAGGTATGTACAATCACATGACTGTCACATGATCACAGACACACCTCCTTAGGTTAATGTGTCAAATATTGCCAACATTGCTAGATAGTCAGTACAAGAAAATTTAGTCTGTGGGCGGTAAGATATTTATACTCTAATTATTCATTTTCAACATTATTTTGTTATTCCTTTTACTAGAGGATAATTTGCACTTGCAGTCATTACAGCTCAGTCGGCCTCACCCACCTTTACTAAGGTGTATGCTACACTTGTTGCTGTCATTAATGTAAAATTTCCTCAAATCGGGAAGCTAATTACTAAGAGACTTATTATTTGTTTTTGTAAAGCATTTGCAAGAAACAACAAGATTATTTGTTTGTCGTCTGTCAGTGACTGTATTACTGGAAGATCCTACGAGCTACTGGACAACTTGAAGCAATTATTCAGAAGGTAAGAAATCAATTGCATGTTAACATAATTAATTAATTAATTTTTGTGAGTGTGGTTTTTTCCTCCTACACTGTACTTTGTGTTTTGTAAAACAAACTTTGTAGTTCAATTTTTTAATTACATGTACTGTACATGTACATGTACCTCTACATGTACATTTTTCTTGTCATATGATTTAGTGATGATGTCAGATGATGAGATGATCTGTCACTGTCAACTGGTCAAACCAGTTTGCCTGTTGATTGCCTCATTGTAATGATGATTGTTTGAGGCATTTGTCTGAAAATCAACCAATTATTAATAATAATTAATAGTAATAATAATGATAATAATAATAATAATAATTGTA